CTCCCTGCCCCCTGCTCCAGACTGCAGAGACCCTTGGCTGTCAGGGCCAGGACCTTGAACCCCTCCTCTCTACCCCAGCCTACAGGAGATCGATGTTCCAAAGTTTGAGGTTGGGAGGGAGAGGATTAATCCCTCTTTAACTCCTCTTCTCAGTTCTGAACCCCAACGGATCCGTTTCCTGGTGTTTCCTGGTGTTTCCTGGTGAATAGGAGGGTAGGAGCCGCCCTGTCTAATAAAGATTAAATTAAGTAGAAGAATCCCAGCCGCTGGATATTTGGAAGCTCCGGTGGGGCGTCAAACCGACGTTTAACACATTTTTTCCACTCACTGTGCACAAGTATTGGATTCATTGGGCTTAACTTTAGAAAGGAAAGAAGAAAAAAAATAAGAAGGAAAGAAAAGAAAAGAAAAAAAAGAAAGAAAGGAAAAAGTCAAGGAGAAACCGCAGTATCAAGGGTGAAGTGACTTTGTGTTCAGAGAGGCTGAAAGCAGAAGCAGGGCTTCCTGACTTTTCTGGTCTTTTCTTTCTCCGAACTCCTCCAAGAATTGGAGGCTCCCTCTCCGCAGTGAGGGCTCAGAATTTTGCTATTTTGGTGGGTTTGAGTCCACATTTATCCGTTAGGGACAGTTTGGTGGCTTAGGGTGAGGACTGGGCATGCGGGAGGAAAGGTGAGCTCAGGACCTAGTCACCTCTTCTATGCTTACTTTGAACCAAGGTTTTGGTAGCACACACTGAGCAATTTCTTTCAGTTACTGCCCAGTAGGAGAAACACTGGCTTTTTCTGTCTGCCGCATTCAGCGAGGTGGACACTGACCTTGAAGCTGAGGCAGCCAGGCACTCCCTCCCCTGGGAATCATTCCGGCCCCAAAATGTTGGCCTCTCACTCCCACCTGCTTCTCTAGTTCCAGGGTGCAGTCTGGGGGGGGGGGCAAAAGGCAAGTCCCTTCGTGCCAATGCCTCGTTCCTGCAAATACAACACTGAATAAATTAACCTCAAACCAGCTAGTTGGGGTGTAGTAGTTTAGCAGGACTAATTGCAGACAATAGAGCTGAAATGACTTTTCCAATTAGCTGCTGGTTGGAGTTTAGTTGGAGGAACTGTCAGTTCCAACGATGGGTAATTGCTTTATTGCTCACAAAACTATCATCTATTTAGAACATATGTGCTAATTACTCTGGATGGGCATTGAAAAAGAGACCATAAATCTAATAGCACTTAAAAAAGTCTATGGTGCTTGTAAGCAACCCCAGCCCAGGTTGGGGTGATGGATGGCTGTCTTTCAGAAAGGCTAGGGTTTTGGAATGGAGGCACCGACTGAATGCTCTGGTCAAATCGCGTGCATGAGAGCGAGGGACCAGCGCAGTTGTGCCGAGGTTATAAATCACTGTCATCAAAACCAGTCCCCTCTTTCGCTGCGCACTTCTTTTTTTCATTTTCGCAAAAGATTACTTTAGAAATCTTTTAATTGGATTATGCTAGGAAATTAATCTCCTTTAGCCTTGGCTAAACTTATTGTGGTCACTGTCGGGAGGAAAGCCCTGTAACTGCAGTGAGGGCCACGTCCCCTATTCCCTCCTAACTTCAGCCCTCGGGGCCTCCCAGCTGCGTGGGACAGCCTTGCCCCAAGTCCTAGGGAGTGATTGGGGGTGAGAAAGAGTGGAAAGACGCGTCTTGCGGAAGCCCGCGGCGGTCCCTAGTGAACCCCTTTGTCCTAAATGCGACGTTTCTGTCCCGGATTCCCTAGTTCCGTATCCAGCATCCCTATACAACACTGCGCTTTCCTCCACAAGGGGGTCTGGGATTCCGGGGGTCTGCTACAACAAGGAGGAAGGAGGCTACAGTGGCGGGAAGAGGAGGTGAGGTTTGCCGGAGGAGGGCTGCCAGCCAAACTTATTATTCTGTCCCCTTGTCTTCCACGCCCCTCTTCTGGCGGGGAGCTCGGGCTTTGCGAACATTCTCCACTCTACTTCTCTGCGCAAAAACGCATGGCTCGGTTTTTGGGCGTTTTCCCTGGCACAACTCTGGACACACTTCCCCCTGACGTGCACAACGCTTGAGGTCCGAGAGCTAGGGCCCTCCCGGCTCTTCCAGGCTCCAGGCGCACTAGCGCAACGTAGGCTGGGGACCTCCCTTTCAGTCCCGTAGCTGCAAGTGCTTAGCCTGGTCCAGCGCTGCACGGGCAGCTGCTGAAGCTGCGGGGCTGGCCCCGCCGGCCGTTTATCTCTGCGGGAGATGACAACATCTGCCTGAAAGTGTATACCTATTTTTGCAGCTCAACTTAGTTCTTAAAAGCAGCCGTCGGAGGTGTGGTTAATTGATGGGGATAAAGGCTCAATCACTTGACGGGGAGACGCCAACGATCCTTTAACATACTTTAAAAAGAACAACCACCACCCCAAACGTCGGCGAGACATTGCTAGGTGGGAGTAGAAGACGCAGATCTGGATGCAAGAAAAGCGGCGCTTGTGCCGTTTGTATTTAGAGGCTTCAGTAAGGGCTGAGCCCTGGCTCTCAGGGCTGGGGCACCTGGGAGCCACCAGGGCGCGCAGCTCGGGCTGTCAAGGGGTTGTCGTGTGGCCCCGGAGAGCGGAGCGTGACAAGGACCCGGGAGAGCTCGGGATGACAAGTGACCAGATCGAAGGGGGGGTTGGGGTTGGGGTTGGGGAGCCTTGGCCGCTATTCCCTGGGCTCTGTCACTCTATCAGCCCTTCCTCTGCGCGGGACTGGGTCCCCATACGGCAAGCAGTTTGTTCTGCGCTCTTTAGAGTTACCCCTCGTCCAGCATGAGCGAAGTGGTCAAGTGGCCGAGCTCGGCGGGAACTCGCGGGGTTCAGCTGTCTGAAGAACCTCAGAGGGACCCCGGGACCAGGAAAGAAAGACAAGTGCCGCTGTGTGTGTGTCGCCCCAAACCGCAGCGCCAAAGCACGTGGTCATATTTTGCCGGGTTTGCCCAGAGTCCTGGAGCCGGGCGTCCCGGTGATTTAGCAGCCCTGGGTCCCGCCGCCGGGTCAGGGCAGCTCTTGCGCACCACCTTTCCCAGACTTCTGACCACCACTTTCTCCCCAACACCTTCTCTCGCCTGTTTTCTCTTTGCTCAGTTCTGGTTTAGTCTCCAGAGGGTCAAGATTGTATTACACTGAGCAAGCCCCCAACTTAGGTTCCCTCAGGCACTAAAATGAAAAAACAAAAAATCCAGATCGCCTTTTCCGTTTGCGAGGGGGAACGCCCTTCAGGTGCGGGCGGTTGTGTCCCTAGCAGATTTTGCGAGTATCCCGTTGTACTCTTTGGAGAAGGATAACCTTGATGCTTCAGGTTTGAGCTCCCTCTGGAATCGGAAGGAGAAAGAACTCCAATCCTTGTCCAGATTTCATTATATTGAGAGATCGCAGGTGTTTCGGCGGCTGCTATTGTCTGCCTTCCTCCCTGAGCCCACATCCCAGGGATGAAAGAGTCCCAGGAAAGTTAATTTCCCCAAACCCTCTTGCGGAGAAGGCATACGTTGTCACGGGCGAAGCTTTGAGGTCAAAGATTTGAAGAAGTGTAATTAAGAGTCCCAACTCCCAGAGTGTGCCTGTCTCGGTATGGTTCTGCCCTTCCACTGTGACTGTCTAACCTCATCTAGTGTGGTTCTGCCCTCTGTGATGTCGAGGAAATCAAGGCTCACTGTCACTTGGCCGTCGACCCCCCACCCTTGCCCCTCCGTCTTCCTTAGCAGGGGAGTACTCCAAGGCCGTGGTCTCCAAGATCCTTGGGCGTTTCGGAGTCAGGGACAGGGTCCCAGGTGCAGGTTCACGCCCTGCCCAGGATGAAGTCTGTGACCTGGCGGCAGGTCCCCGAGGCTTTCCTGAAGGCCTGCTGCCTCAGGACTGCCAGGGTCCTGAACTGCCTGAGGCGGCCTCTTGTCCGCCCAAGCCCTCGGATCAGCGTGGGCCCTGAGCGGTGTGGGCCCTGAGGGCGGCCAGGAGGCATTTGGCCCAAGTCCGCGCCGTCCGCGTCCCAGTCAAGGGCCTTTACACCCGTGTGTCTCCTCACATTTCTCTCCCCACAAGGGCGCTCCCTTGCGAACGAATCCTGCGCTCTGCGAACCAGGCTCCCTGGAGGGCCCCGGGGTCCCTCCCACTACTTCCCTCGAAGTCGGGGATCCCTAGCCCTGACAACGGCCGCGGCGGGAGCAGTTCCCGGAAGCGAGGCCCACATCCGGGCCCGAAGCCTCGCTCGCAGGGTTGGCTTCCGGGCGCTCGACGCGAGTGAGTCGCTTCGCGCGGCGAGGGTCCCGGGCCGGGGATCGCGCCCTCGCCGGTGCTGAAGGTCCCTACCCCGAGAGCTGGCCGGAGTGACAGAGTCCTGGGCCGGTGCGGGGTAAGACTTAAGAAGGAAACCAGGCAAGACCGGCGAGTGGCGCACGCGGCGGAACCCTAGGCCCACGGCCTCGGTCGGCGCTGGCAGTTGGCGTCCCAGGGTCGGTGCAGCAAACTTCCTCGGTATGGGCCAAGAGGGAGTGTGAGCCGGCTTTTGGCCCAACTTCGTAAAGTTCGGAGACTCACGGTCGAAAGAGACCGCCTTGGCCGTCGTCCCCATTACGCTTTTTGCCCTCCCTGGCTAGAGCCCTCTGAGCCTTTGCGGTGTTCCCGTGCTCCGGGGCTGACAGCTGGCCCTCCCTTGGGCACCTAGTCCTCTTCAGGTGTTGGGCCGAGAGGGGGTAAGGAGCAAGGCTTGGGGTGAGGCTAGGAAACCTCAAACCCGGTTTTCTGGTTTAAGGAGGAGCTCGTTCTTAAGAAGCTGAAAAGTCAGTGGGAGTTAACTTTGAGGCCTGCGGCATTTTTGAAAACATCTATCTACAAGGCGGGAACTACACAGAAAAACCGTTGTGTAGTTCTTAAAAAAATTTTTGGGGGGACCGTATCTGGAGAGCTTTCCCAGAGATTGTTTTATAATCTCGCAAATTAGAGAGTTGGTATGCATCTTGCCATCAGTACACTGAATAGTATGTTCCTTCAGACAGGGATTGAGAAACGGAAATACCACCACCCTCCAGCCAAACTTGTGAGGACTGATTGCAGGGGAACTGGTGCTCCAGATGTTGCACTAGAGGCGCTGCGAGTGTGAGCAGGTAATATGGAGAAGAGTGACATTGTTAACAGAAAGTATCTAATTAACAGTGACTTCATTTGATTGGAAGGGTGAAAAAGCCTTTTTAAATCAATCCAGATTCACTGGCCTAAGCTCAGCCAATTTATGAATGCAGAGCCTGACTGGGCTCTGCTTTCTTTCAAAGATGTCATCTTAGGGGTAATAGCATAGGTGAAGTCATTTGGTTACACTGTGGAAACTTTTATAGTGCCTTCCTCGGGAATCTAATTCGGTGCTTCTTCATTTTATTAGGAACAGACTGACTCCATCAACTCTGCTCTCCCTGTTTAGAGGCAGGACTGCTTGAAGCAATTAGGTTCACCAATTAGCATACTTCTACTGACCCCAGCAGCAGCACCACTCCTTAGATTATCCATTTCTTCAAAGTCAGGGAAAAAAAGCTGGAGGACAACATGCTTCCCAGGTGTCTACCGGGGGGAAAAGTAAGCCCACAAACAGGGTAGCACAGCTGTGCAAAAAGCTTTCTAATAGTCCCCAAGTGTTTCAGCAACTTTGGTGGATTTTTCTCCCCTTTTCTGATTCTGGATCCTATAATACCTCCTTACTTTCACATAGCCTTTAAAGCCTGTCTCCTTTGGTTGTGTTTTGGCAGAGTTGCTTTTGAGTTCTCTCCCTTCTTTTATGTACACCTGCATGCTAATGAAGCTGTGGACAGTGTTAGGGTCCAGAGAAGGAAATCACTGAAGGCTCTTTTAAAGTCTGTTAAGGGCTCAGGTCTTTGGGGCTGTGTGTGTGTGTGCATGTGTATGTTTTTGCATGGGTACATGCCTCAGAACCTATGAGGAGAGGCCAGAGGTTGGAAATTGGGAGATACATCATTGCTTTCCTTAATTTTGAAGGTGTACCTGCAAGGCTTTGCTGCAGTCTCTTCACTGAAACCTCAATCAGTTGGTGGCCAACATCTTTAGTAAAAGCAAATGTCTGGAGCTCAAAGCAGTCTGGGAAAGAAGGGGCTTTGCTCTTTGCACTATCATATGTAGTGAAGGGATTACATTTACATAGCCATTGTCTCTCTCTCTCCCCTAAAATATATATTCCTCTGTAAGATTTTACTAGATTGAATTGCTGACAGTTCATCAGTACCAGCAACAATGTAATATCCTAACCTTATTAAATCAATAAATACTAGATCCATGTATTGAATTAAAAATGTATCAGCATGGCCAGGAATTGTAATTATATGGCTGTGGACTGCAGAATCAAAGATGCCACTCAAAAATTGACAAGGTAGCATTTATTTAACCTTTTTCTATTTTGCGTCTGTGATTAGATATTCTGGGTTTTAACATTTCAGGGACCATTGTGACAGGTTTTTTGTTTTGTTTTGTTTATTTCTTGGAAATTCTTTTCTTTCACCTCTCACATTTTTTTTATTATGTTATGTTAATCACCATACATTACATCATTAGTTTTTGATGTAGTGTTCCATGATTCATTGTTTGCGTATAACACCCAGTGCTCCATTCAATACGTGCCCTCTTTAATACCCATCACCAGGCTAACCTCTCCCCCCACGCACCTCCCCTCTAAAACCCTCAGTTTGTTTCTCAGAGTCCATAGTCTCTCATGGTTCGTTTCCCCTTCTGAATCCCCCCCCTTCATTCTTCCCCTCCTGCTATCTTCCTCTTTTTTTTTTTTTTAACTATATAATGTATTATTTGTTTCAGAGGTACAGGTCTGTGATTCAACAGTCTTGCACAATTCACAGCGCTCTCCATAGCACATACCCACCCCGATGTCTATCACCCAGCCACCCAATCCCTCCCACCCCCCCATCACTCCAGCAACCCTCAGTTTGTTTCCTGAGATTAAGAATTCCTCATATCAGTTTCACATCTCACGTTTAACCACAAAAATGATACATGTTTAACAATAGTAATATACTGTGGCTTTATTTTTCTTGTCCTTAGTTTTCATCTAGGAAGTATAATTCCACTCAGGATACATTACTCTAATAAGACATACTCAGGTGCATAAGTTTCTACTTGGCATGAATAAATTTAGATGTTCTTTTGTATGTGTAAATAAATATACTCAGTGTGACTGTATTGCTGTACATTGATATACATTTATTTTTTAAAAAGAAACCACTTTTGATTTTATCTTTCAGCATTGCCGATGATAATTAAAAGCTAAAGAACTGTTTATTATTTCAAAACAAGTTATTTATAATCTGATTTGCTGTTGAAACTTATGTGGCTAGAGATGAAATTAAAATTTTCAAGTCTTTAAACCTAACAGACTACTTAGAAAGTTACGCATATTGTGAATGGTTACATTTTATGTGTGAAAAAAATAGTTTATATGCGGTTTACCAGGAATTGGTCAGTTAAGTTGTAGATTAGTGGCTGAATTTTAAAGTTAGTCCCTACTGAAAACAAGCAATGTGTTTAAGAGCTGGAATTTCAATGGAAAAAGTAATATTACTCTAGCCAGGTATTTGTTTATACTGATTAATGATGCTAATTATTTAAAAACATTCATCCCCTTTTGATGTCAGCTAGCATATTTGTGGTACTGAATTCTGAATATAAAGTCATTGGGCCTTGGGTTCACTACACTGTGAAAGAAAAAATCTTTATTTGATGAAATAGGCAATCAACTGAAATCTATCCTCTTTAAATAAACTGATTCTTCAGTATTTTCCCAGTGTTGGTGTAAGTTGTTGTCTGTGATGTCCCCTAGGGCTCTTTCCTCTGCTCTCTGATTTGGTATATAAAAGCAGCTCTGAATGATGGATTACTGTGTCATTGCAGCCTGCGAAGGATTAATTTGTTTCATTGATTTCTCTTTAGGCAGATTGCCAGAATTTGCTGCTTCCCACCTTTCCTCAAGACTTCTAGAAGTAATAGACAGTAATAGCCTAAGACAAATCAGCTCCTTTTTTGTAAAAACAGAATCATGAAACCAGGAATCCTAATAAGAGCTTTGGCAAACTTTTTATTGGCATATTGGGAAGAGCAATTAATAGGCTACTTTATCTGGTTTAGAAGTAGTTTGAATTGAAAAATTTCTTTGGCTTGGTGACTTAAAACATATCATATTAATAGTTCCTAAGTAAGCATTTATAATATTTGTACCATAAACATTTTCTCAAATTTGTAAGTATCTTAAATATTTAACTCAGGAAAAAATGTGTTGTTTATGTGATTGACAAACACTTCTTTATATGCCAGATTTTAGGATCAAATAATATGGCAACATAACTTTAAGTCAATTTACTTATAAATATTTATAGGATTATTTGATGCAAAGAATTTTTAGAAACTTTGGACAAGGACATAGAGTATTAGAGGATAGAAAGAGAATTGTTTAATTGTTTGAAGAAAATATAACTTTGTGACTAAAGGACTGGTATTTGCTCATAATAATTTCCAAAATTAAAAATGACATTTTGTACATTTTCTCTAAGCCTTTTTCCTCCAAGCATTTACATGTTTTATTTATACATATATAGATAGATACCACTTTGTATCCTGCTTTTTCAGTTGGCATTATACAGTGAAAAATTTCCTGTATAATTGAAATTATTATTAAAGTCATTTATATTGACTGTTTAATGTTTTAACATGTATACTTTAATTAATCATTGTTCTATTGGAGAGTTAGATTTCTAACTTTCCATTATTGTAAATAAAGTTATGATGAATGACATTTTAAATAAATCTTACTCATCCCTGTGGTTATTTCCTTAAAATACATTATTACAAAAGAATTTGCTTGGATGAGGGTATAGACTGTTTTTTTAAGGTTCTTGATATCAATTGCCAGATTGTTTTCCAGAAAGGTTTTTCCAGTTTATACTGGTACTGTTTAAAAAATGTCTCTGTAGAGGCAGCAGCATTCTCATTTATGTTACACAAGCAAAGAAAACAGAACAACACTCTTTCCTTGTCTTCTGAAAGTAGTGGCAGCATTTTACATATACTTAGTCTCTCAGAAGTATTTTCTCAACTGCAGATGTGAAATAGGCTGGTTATACAAATCTATTTGTTTCCCTTCTGTAGTGCTGAAAATTATATTGATTTAATGATCTCAAGTTATACTTTTTATGCAATTAGTTGTGTAGTAAAAACTAATATTGTCATGTGCTAATGTCTTTTTTTCCTCTATTGTGCTATGATAGTAGTCCATGCAGTATCAGCAAGTTTATGCTCTTCCTGTGCTTTGCTGAAAGGAAAAAGGAACATCTGTTTCCATTATATATCTGCATCATAATGATAACAATTAAATAGCTTTTATGGTAGTATACAGTAAATATATTTTGCTGAATGACCTATACTTTCTTGTTGGAAAATTTCAGAGATTTCAGAGGCACTTAGTTTTTACAGGTAGGTTCCATGTAGAAGTTTAGAAAGGCCTTTGGTTACTTTAGGTAAATCACTGTAGTTTCAGTATAAACAAACAAAGAACCCTGAAGATTAAACTCTAGGCTATCAGATGTGACTCTTGAAAGTGTTTTTCTTAGGCAGATGTTTAGAGTACAAATTATTAGGTACCTCAATATTCTTAAGTGGCTTAATCATGCTACTAATAACAGAGTTCATTTTGTGTTTTGTGCTGTTTGTGTACTTTTAATATTTTACTAAGCCGGAAATTGGGAATAGTTTTATATGTGTGTGTGTGTGTGTGTGTGTATACTCACACATATATAAATATATTTACAGCCTAGTGCTTTTTTTGTGTGTGTGTATATTAGGGGAGCATAGTCATATTTACCTTTTAAGCTCAGCAGGAGAATGTTTGAAACCCATGCACTATTTCCATTGACCTTTAATATTCCAGAGAAATGTTTTCATTTATTTCAGTTTTTGGTTAAAGATGTTTTAGTGGTTACTTAAAAAAATGATTAGAAAGTATTTCAGACAAAATGTGGTATATAAAGAAAAATAAACAGCCCTGTACTCCAGACTCAATTTGAGAAATAAAATGTTACCAGTGCAGGGCGCCTGGGTGGCTCAGTTGGTTAAGCGACTGCCTTCGGCTCAGGTCATGATCCTGGAGTCCCGGGATCGAGTCCCGCATCGGGCTCCCTGCTCGGCAGGGAGTCTGCTTCTCCCTCTGACCCTCCCCCCTCTCATGTGCTCTCTCTCATTCTCTCTCTCTCAAATAAATAAATAAAATCTTTAAAAGAAAAAAAAAATGTTACCAGTGCAATTGAACCTCTTCCTGTGATCATATTCCCTTAAGACTTCTTTTTTTTTTTTAAGATTTTATTTATTTATTTGACAGAGAGACAGAGCCACAGAGCACAAGTGGGGTGGGAGGCATGGCAGAGGAGAGGGAGAAGCAGGCTCCCCACTGAGCAGGGAGCCCGACGTGGGGCTTGACATGGGGCTCGATTCCAGGCCCTCGGGATCATGACCTGAGCCGAAGGCAGACGCTTAACCGATTGAGCTGCCCAGGCACCCTCCCTTAAGGCTTCTTGAAGAGATGATCAGCATCCTAAATTTGATGATTATCTTTTTTGTATGTTTTTCTTTTACGTATTTTCTTTAACATGTCAAAAAACTTGATGTAGTGATTTGTCCTTTTAAATAAATTTAAAATGTTGGACCTATGAAGGCTGTTGGAACCTTTTTAGTCTAATCACCTGTGAATGGTCATGTTTCTCTGATTTACTGTCCTCATCTGTAAGTTGTATATAGATCCACATGTTCTTTGATGTCCATCTAGCCATAATTAAAGTTTTTTGATTACCTCTTATTTTCCATATGAGATAAAATATAACAAAAGACAAAGGCTCAGAAGTTTAAGTAACTTACCCAAGACCATATAGTAAATCCAGAGCCAGGAATAAAGCTCAGTTCTGACTTCGATTCAAAGCACTCTTTTCTTCAGTACACATTGTCATCTTTGGGTACTGGCTGACTGACCACTTTGGTAGCCTGTGATTAAAGACCATTTACAGGCTTGTTTAACTTTGTGATTGTTGTGTGCAGGAGAGACTTTTAGAATTTTTTTTTTTTTTTTTTTTCTGTAGGGAAAAACATTGAAGCCTTATCAGCCTGAAAGCTACTTATAGAATGAGGAGACTATGTTTCCTGCAGAGCCTGTAGTTTTCTTCTTTATTTTCTGGACTTTCCTGGAAAAAATGATAGTTTGGGTACAATGAAGCTTTCTATAGATTTCTTACCATGTAGTCAGTTTTCTGATCTCTCATGATAACTGGATCAGGACAATAGGGATGGGCATAAATTTAAGTGTCTCTTTACATGTACGTGTATCTATTTTTCAATATATTTTGGCAGTCAGGATTTTGACAAATTGCTTCTTTTTTTTTTTTTTTTTAGCTTATACTATGGTCAAATCACAAATAATTTTGTATTTGAAAATGAGTTTGTTTCTTGTTTCTATTTAGCAACCAACTTACCAGAACACTAAAGTGAGAATAGCACAAATAGAATAATGTGGAAACATGTTTTTAAAATCTCTTTGGAGAAAAACCCTATTCTAAAAATGGCAACCTAGAATTACATGCATGTACGTTCTCTTTCAGGTTTTTACTCTAACAAATTTAATTCATTCTTAGTTGAGATGAGTAAGCTTGAGTCATAATATTCACACAGTGCCATGCCTCTCCTATGAAAAAATACCAATATAACTAGAGATGGAGTTAATGTATCCTATTGTAAAACTATCTTTTCCCAAATGTGTTGCCTCAAGACCAAAAACTTTGTTTAATAAATTATTTGCTTCCTTCTATAAATACATACTAAGAAACTTGTGATAGTAGTAATCATTTTTTTAAGGAAAGATGAAGCTGCTAATAGTAGCTTTGTCAGTGCTATAAATATTCTCAAGGTAGTTGTGTTTTAACAAGCAAACCAGGTAACACATTTTTCTCTATTTTAGGTCAATTATCTTATGTATTCAGCAGCTTCTAGTAGGAATTTTCCCCTAGCATATTAGTTTGGGGAGGAGAGACCCAGTGTGATCAGATATCAACATTCAGTACACCTTTTATTTAGCATTGCTTTATTTGCTCACACTCACTAAATATGATTTCTTTCATTTCTGTAGCATTTCTGTCTGGAGAGAAAGCTGTGTGTGTGTCTGTGTGTCTGTCTGCCTGCCTGCCTGCCTTTGTAAATATTTCAAAGGCATTTCTTGTCTAGTTGAAGGTTCTGGTGAACATCTGTAATGTGTAATATAAGGAATTTTCTACACTGGTTAAATTTCCCCTTGTTGCTCTAGCAGGTAGGTGGAACTCAACAGAAAAGGTGTGGGTAGGGGAAACTAGCCCCTGGCTAACTTATTTTCTCCCTGGTCATAATATGAATCTGGGCAGTAGTGGTGAGAATATGGAATCTTAACCACCAGACCAGCAATGCTAAAACCAGAGAGACCCCAGTGAGACACAACAATCTATAGCCCATGTATATTATTTTACTCTCTTAGTTATATAGCTCTTTGAAGAAAGGTGATGTGTTGTTTACAGAAACATCTGAATATGGTTAAAAAAAAAAAGGTGTGTGTTTGTGTGTATGTATATATGTATATAGTGTATTTTTGCCATATATTTTACCAGGATTATAGGTGCTTAAATATCTGCACTGTTTCTACTCAGTCCTTAATGACTTCACTTTAGACCATGTTGAGATTATTTCAAAACTAACGTTGGCTATGTATTTTCTATTGACAGAGCCGATACATAATTTCCTGATGTGATCTCGGAATTTTTCTGTGTGTAAAAGGGTAGGATTTTCTTCTACTAATGTTAGATTTGCATGTTGTAAAATTTTGTTCATGGCCTGTTTTGAAATCCCAGCTGTTTACGATTTTCTCATTATTTGATTCTTATGAGAATTTTGTTACTGTTGTGCATATTGTTCTTGACGTATAGTTAACACTTACTGAGTTCTTGTCATGCTTACTGCATATGAGATAGATAAAAGCATAGTCATTGCTATGGGATAATTACTGATATGGTCTTTTGCCAATAATTTAACAGATTATATTTTCCTAATATATTTATGATTTTTAAAATATTCCTACATGAAGACTTCAAGAGAAAAAGAAAATATATTTAGTTTTCCATTGCAGTTATTTACCTTTTGAAAAACTTCTTAGAATTATAACTTGGGCTTGGGGTGCCTGGGTGGCTCAGTCAGTTAAGTGTCTGCCTTTGGCTTAGGTCATGATCCCAGGGTCCTGGCATAGAGCCCCGTGTCAGGTTCCCTGCTCCCTCTCCCACTCCCTCTGCCACTCCATCTGATGCTCCCCTTGCTTGTGCTCTTTCATTCTCACACTCTCTCAAACAAATAAATAAAATCTTTAAAAAATTATAATTTAGGATCAGCCAAAATGATATTAATGTAGCATCTTGAATAAATAGGATGTGGCATTTACTAACTTTAAATCAGTTTTTTTTAAAAGATTTATTTATTTGAGAGAGAGGAAGTGAGAGAGAGAGAGAGAGCAAGAGGTGTGGGGGGAGGGGCAGTAGGAGAGGGTGAAGCAGACTCTCCACTGAGCAAGGAGCCCAATGTTGGGCTTGATCCCAGGACCCTGGGATCATGACCTGAGCCGAAGGCAGACGCTTAATGGATTGAGCCACCCACATGCCCCTTAATCAGTTTCTTAAAAAAAAGAATATAAGATGTAAGAATTTTTCCTAGTACTCTATCTTGTTTAAGTATGCCAATCTAATTACCTCTCTGTAAATAAAAAATAATTGTGTAACAGTGTTTCTGAAAAGCAGTCTTTGTGCTGCTTTTTAGCAAGAAGCAGGTTCATTTTTTAAAAACTGAACTAACAAAGTACATTTAAGTTAAAATTAGGAATTACACTAAGTATGAAGGCAAAACATGTTTTCATAAATATTTAGAAAAATACCTGTGTTTGGTCTTGACTCCCCATTAGCTTTGATGGTAATTATCATTGAATTTTAGCATTGAACCTGTTTTTATAGCATTACACATGAACATGTTTTTATAGCTCACCAAAGTTTATTAAAAGATGCTGAAAATAATTACCATTTGCCTGTCACACAAGAAGTGGGTTGTTGATATATTTGCTAACAAATTTGACCAATGTAGATAGCGGTTTTTGATAAAAAGGTTAACAAAAATACTCCTATTCTCCGTATAATAGTTACAATCTTTTTGGACTTAATTATGTAGTTTCTTCTATCTCTTTATATAGGTATAAGTTTCAGTTTATAAGTATTGCAATAAACAGTCAAAGTATAATTTGTATTTTGTGTAGAGTGTTCTCATGAGATAACAAGGTCCTTTTGAATTTGGGGGATTGATTGGGTTTTGCATTATTTATACATTTCTCAAAACAAATATACAAATTCCAAAATAAGTCCCTTTTTGTTTAGTTACATTTTTTTTTGTTTAGTTACATTTTTGAGATGTGTATTTTATAAGATTTATATTTAAAAAAAGACAAAAACATATCAGTAATATCTGGTAGAGGATTACATTGTATTATGCTATACTATTAGACTCAGTCTCATGTCAGTCTAAGTTGTAAAGGTAGTTGTTTTGGACTGGCTAGAACTAGAATAAGGGAGTGGTATTATAGAGCTTTGAAAGCAACATACTGCCTGATGTCTGTGACAGAGCCAAAAGTCACCAAGATCCTATTTATATTTTAGTTCCAATTTTAATAAATTTAGATGTGTTTTGAATTTTTTATTTTTTTAAAGATTTTATTTATTTATTTGTCAGAGAGAGAGAGAGAGAGAGCGTGCAAGCACAAGCAGGGGGAATGCGAGAGAGAGAAGCAGGCTCCCTGCTGAGCAAGGAGCCTGATGCGGGACTCAATCCCAAGACCCTGGGATCATGACCTGAGCTGGTCAGATGCTTAACTGACTGAGCCACCCAGGCGTCCCTGTGTTTTGAATTTTGACAAATAGTTTTAAAATTCCAAAAGGTCCTGCATTTTATAGTAAGGAACTAGCCAAAGGCTATATTTTTATATATAGTGTGTATGATGGAGAGTTTTGTTCTTATATAAACTTGCCTAATAGTTATCCTACCCAAGAGAAGTGTAAAAAATCCTTAATTTATGAATTTTACTTTTTATATAAATAGTAAAACCTTCTTATTATATGCTAAGCATATTTCATATATTATTTAATCAGTTTATATAGGATATAAAATTCTCATTTTACTGGTGAAGAATTTGAGGCTTAAATGTGGTCAAGTAACTTGCTCAGTCAAGTCACATAGAAGGTGAGTAACACAGCAAGGATTTGACATGAAGTATGTGTCACTCCAGAGCCCACTCCTGATCTATGCTGATTTCACTGCTTCTTACCAAGTAACTGATTATATTACCTTTTGGTTATAGGGTCAAATTGTATTCTCACAGGCACGTAAAAAAGCATAGAGCAACTCTTATACAAAACAAAGGAAATCTATATAATTTCATGTTATTTTCATGTCCCAGTAGCTATAGGATAATATTCTCTCTGTTTGATTATGTGCTGTTCTATGTGTAAATGGTACTATCTAGATGAAACTCTATCCTTAGAATTTTTTGGCACTAGGTTGGCTTAGCTATTAAATACCACCTTTGCGGGCGCCTGGGTGGCTCAGTTGGTTAAGCGACTGCCTTCGGCTCAGGTCATGATCCTGGAGTCCCGGGATCGAGTCCCGCATCGGGCTCCCTGCTCGGCGGGGAGTCTGCTGCTCCCTCTGACCCTCCCCCCTCTCATGTGCTCTCTCTCATTCTCTCTCTCTCAAATAAATAAAATCTTAAAAAAAAAATACCACCTTTGCTAGCAGATTGAAAAGTGAATAGCAAGAAAGTTTATTATTTCTGATTTGCAGTCTTTCTTCAGAATGTTTTTGTCTTTAGTGACTTCCAGGGGGGAAAAAAATCATGGTTTCCCTTAGTAGGTGTGTTATTTTGCTAGGGCTGCTGTACCAAAGTACTACAAAAGGGGTAGCTTAAGCAACAGACATTTATTGTTGCCTAGTTCTGAGGCTGGAAGTCCAAGATCAAGGTGTCGTCATGGTTGGTTCCTTCCAGTGGCTGTGAGGAATATAATCTATTACATGCCTCTCTCTTAGTTTATGGTGGTTTATTGGAATCTTTGGTGTACCTTGGCTTATAGATGCATCATTCTGATCCCTGCCTTCATCTTCATGTGGTGACCTCCCTCTGTGTGTGCTGACCTCTCTATGTCCAAATTTTCCTTTATAAACACACCAGTCATATTGGATTAGAGCCTACCCTAATGACCTCATCTTTTTTTTTTTTTTTAAAGATTTTATTTATTTACTTGACAGAGAGAGATACAGCGAGAGAGGGAACACAAGCAGGGGGAGAGGGAGAGGGAGAAGCAGGCCTCCCGCTGAGCAGGGAGCCCGATGCGGGGCTCGATCCCAGGACCCTGGGATCATGACCTGAGCCGAAGGCAGACGCTTAACGACTGAGCCACCCAGGCGCCCCCCTAATGACCTCATCTTAACTTGAACATCTGCAATGACCCTCTTTCCAAGTAAGGTCACATTTGCAGGTACTGAAAGTTAGGACTTTGGTATATTTTTGAGGGGACACAATTCAACTCATTAACAGTAGGCAGTTTTTTTCTGAGATGATAGATTTGAAAACTCTGGTAGTGGTTATATACATAAATTTGCAGTTGATCAATTCATTGGTGTAATTGCATGCACAGATACCCATAAATGAGTAATGTCTGAATATTTGTTTTGGAATAGGACTGATTTTGCTCTAATATTCTTGTAAAAAAACTGTTGGAAGAACAGACTGGAGAACTATTTAGAAAGGCTTTCAATAAATGATACGATCGAGTGTCACAATGTATGGGGCAGATAATGAGCTTTTGATAATATATAAAATCAGTATATCTTGTGGTATGAAGTTGGGATTTAGATAGACGTTCAGAACAAGAGGATGCTACAGAAACAGAAGACATAGGTTTAGGTTCTGATGTAGGAATGAGTATTTTATGTATAGTGGGCCATGGTGGTGAAGGGAGGCTTTGGGTCAGTTATGTTGTGAAGGAATCTCTGGCCCTGTAGGGTTAATGCCAGTTTTAACTTTTAAGTTTCAAGGAATTGCTGTAGGATTTATTTTTAATTTTACCCTGTAGAAAACTTGAAATATATAATTAACAAGAAGAAAAATATGACCTATATCCCCACTACCCAGAGCTACTTGTTATTAATATTTTGACATCTTGATATAATTCTTATGAAATTCCTGCCATGATTTTTGATTGAGATTATACCATATAAACAGTTTTCTAAAATAAATCAGCACCTGGAGTCTCTAAATATCTATCCGAATTTGAGACCCATGGAGTAATAGACCTAATGATCATTGATGATGAATCGGGTCACCATAATTCCATAAACCATTAGATCAAGACAGTTTTGTCTTCATGCGATTTAGGTCCTTTGCCTTAGTCTTGTCCTTCCTCCCGTCTTTCACACTACTGCCAGGATCTTTTTAATGATTACATCACTCTCCTGGCTTACCTCCTTCAGTCAGACAGAGGTCCAGCTTTTTAGCATAATAGGCATCTTTGTGAACTTTCTCATGCCTCTTTCTTCTCATTTGCTACTCTCCAAAAAGCTTCCTGAAGTTCTCAGAATATTGTGTACCCTTTTGAACCTCTATAATTTTTACCTCTCCCCTCCATTAAGAATGCCTTTTTTCTTTTTGTCTGTCTGTCCAGCAGCTGCTAATTTATTTCACATGACATTTCCTCTCTAAAGCCTTTATTCTAAGCCAGTTTTCCCTTTCTTTTACTACCTGTAGCACTTTCTGGAAAACTTGCTATAAATTGATTACAGGGAATCCTAGTGACTAATTTCTATCTTTATCTTTCTTGTTTTTTTTTTTTTAAGTTTTTATTTAAATTTTAGTTGTTAACATAGAGTGTAATATTAGTTTCAGGAGTAGAATTTAGTGATTCATCACTTACCTATAACACCCAGCACTTACCACAACGAGTACCCTCCTTAATACCCATCACCCATTTAACTCATCCCCTACCCACCTTCCCTCCAGCAACTCTGTTTATTCTTTATGGTTAAGAGTCTGTTTTATGGTTTGCCTCTCTTTTCCCCCCCTTAATCTCCATCTGTTTCATTTATTAAATTCCACATGAGTAAAATCATATTGTATTTGTCTTTCTCTGACTTATTTTACTTAGCATAATACATTCTAGTTCCATCCACATTGTTGCAAATGGTAAGATTTCATTCTTTTTGATGGCTGAGTAATACTCCATTGTATACATATGCCACAACTTTTTTATCCATTTATCAGTCAGTGGACAGTTGGGCTCTTTCCATAATCTGGCTGCTGTTGATAATGCTGCTGTAAACATTGGGGTAGATTTGTTTCTTCAAATCAGTATTTTTATATCCTTTGGGTAAATACCTAGTAATGCAATTGTTGGGTTGTAGGATAGTTCTATTTTTAACTTTTTGAGGAACCTCCATACTGTTTTCCAGAGTGGCTGCACCAGTTTGTATTCCCACCAACAGTGTAAGACAGTTCCCCTTTCTGCATCTCGCCAGTGTCTGTTGTTTCCTATGTTGTTAATTTTAGCCATTCTGACTGGTGTGAGGTGGTATCTCTTTGTAGTTTTGATTTGTATTTCCCTGATGATGAGTGATGTTGAACATCCTTTCATGTGTCTGTTAGCCATCTGTATGTCTTCTTTGGAGAAATGTCTGTTCATGTCTTCTACCCATTTCTTAACTGGATTATTTGTTCTTTGGGTATTGAATTTGGTAAGTTCTTTTTTTTTTTTTCTTTGAAGATTTTATTTATTTATTTGACAGAGAAAGAGCACACAAGCAGGGCCTGTGGCAGGCGGAGGGAGAAGCAGACTCCCCGCTCTGAGCAGGGAGCCCGAAGCGGGGCTTGATCCCAAGATCCTGAGATCATGACGTGAGCCGAAGGCAGATGCTTAACCAACTGAGCCACCCAGGCGCCCCGAGTTTGATAAGTTCTTTATAGATTTTGTTTACTAATCCTTTATCAGATATGTCATTTGCAAATATCTTCTCCCATTCCAAAGGTTGCCTTTTGGTTCTGTTGGTTGTTTTCTTCACTGTGCAGAAGTTTTTTTTTATCTTAATGAAGTCCCAGTAGTTCACTTTTGCTTTGGTTTCCCTTGCCTCAGAAGATGTATCTAGTAAGAAGTTGCTACACCCAATGTCAAAGAGGTTGCTGCCTGTGTTCTATAGGATTTTGATGGTTTCCTGTCTCACATTTAGGTCTTTAATCCATTTTGAATTTATTTTTGTGTATGGTGTATGAAAGTGGTCCAGTTTCATTCTTCTGCATGTTGCTGTCCAACCATTTGTTGAAGAGACTTTTTCCCATTGGATATTCTTTTCTGCTTTGTTGAAGATTAGTTGACCATAGAGTTGAGGGTCCATTTCTGGGTTCTCTATTCTGATCCATTGATCAATGTGTCTGTTTTTGTGCCAGTACCAAAGTGTCTTGATCACTACAGCTTTGTAATATAACTTGAATTGTGATGGCTCCAACTTTGCTTTTCTTTTTCAAGATTGCTTTGGCTATCTGGGGTCTTTTGTGGTTCTGTACAAATTTTAGGAATGTTTGTTCGAGCTCAGTGAAAAATGCTGGTGGTATTTTGATAGGGATTGCATTAAATGTGTAGATTCCTTTGAGTAATACAGACATTTAGCAATATTTGTTCTTTCAATCCATGAGCATAGAATGTCTTTCCATTTCTTTGTGTCATCTTCAATTACTTTCATCAGTGTTTTATAGTTTTCAGAGTACACCGTCTTTATCTTTCTTTTTTTTTCATTTGTCTACAGTTTTATTGTGAAAAATTTTAAATACCAGAAAAAGTAACATGAACACCCATATTTCCACCATTTAGAGTCAACAGTTATAAATATATATGTATATGTATATTTACATATATATACACACACAGAGATTTAGTTTGATCCACTTGGAAAGTAAGGTACAGATCTTGTGCTACTTCATCCATAAATATTGTAACACACATCTCCCAATAAGAACATAATCTTATGTTCTCTTACATAATCACAATACCATGAGCACACTTAAAAAATTAATAATTCCTAATTTTTTCTAATGTATAGTCATATTCCAGCATCTTTATCTTTCTTAATAGACTGAGTTATGAATGGGCAAGGATCATGTGTTATTTATACTAGTATCTGTAGCACTTAGCATGGTACCTAGTCGATGTTTGAGGAAAATGTTTGCTGAATAAATAATCTTGTCTTTTCATCTAATACTATTCTGCCAGTAATAGTGAATATAGCTAGAATAAGTGATAATTTTTGGAGTGACAGGTAAGGGAGTAAGTTGACTAGTTCCTTTCAACTTATCAAACAGTTACTAAGCATTTACAATTTGTAAGTTATTCTGCTGGGCATTGTGGAATTGGGAAACTAAAATGAAGAGGACCTTTAAGAGTTTGCAGCCTAATGGAGGACTTCCAATTTTGGCGAGTTGTTAGGGAATTATGGTAAGAAATATAGTGAAGAGTTGTTAAGAAGAATAACCCATTAAAACAGAATTGTGACTGGAAACATTTGTATAGTGCCTTTAAATTAACAAAGTTTATTTGTTTACAGGTGGCAGTGGGCCTACATCATGGGTTGTAGCAGATGTTCTCAACATTTCTGTTGGAACTTCTTTATATTCCCTTGAAAGAGGAGCCCCAGAGCCTCATCCTGTGGTAGCTACCATGCTCTGGTATGATGCTATGCTTTTCTACTTCATCCTTCCTGTTCTAGCAGAGGTCTAGGTTAGAATTTAACTGTTTCTTAGAGTAAACAATTATGTAGAACTGGAAGTGGAATGTTTCAATTAAACTGATATTGTGATTTCTTTGAGATTGTTGATAATGCCTTGTTATTCTTATACCTGCTCACAGAACCCCTGAATAGTGAGTGCCTTACTTATCATAGATACTTAGCTTTGTGATTTCGTTTGAGTTGTATCTAGTTGTAAATAGTTCCTTACTGATTTTTAATAGATATTAATCTAATTTTTATTTCCTTAAATGATAAAGAAGCATATAACATCAACTTTACTTCTACTTAAAAACTGTATCTTCAGGTAATGTTTAACCAGATTCAACTGGCAATCGATAAAATTCCATATCAGGAATATTTAAGCACAAACCTCTGTCTGTATTAACATGAATAAACACTGTAGCTAGTAACAAAAGTATTTTTTCATAAAAAATAGAAGTATTTTTCAGAATTCTGGGAAATGTCAAAGTAATTTTGGCTGTAGTCATGCTGCATTAATGTTATTGAGAATGTTGCTAACATTAACAAAAATATTCCTTAATTTCCTCAGTTATTGCTACTGTTGATGAGGGATGTAAAGTTGGCATGCTTTCATGTTTTGAGCATTTTCAGTATACACTTTTGATTTTATATGTCAGAAGCAATCTTTGTTTTAGGTAAGATAGCTGAGAACATTTTTACTTAGGGATAGAGGTCAGGCTCTATTTGTATTTTTAGGTCAGTGATATATAGAATATAGTGATATATCAGAGTAAATACATGTACAGTTTTGTATGTAAGTATTATAACATTTATATATTTCTTGACCTTATTTTTAGTTCATTAAAACAGTGATTTGGGACCAAGGCATAGGTTTCATTTGTATATTAATTATTTTATTTTTTATTTTCTGTGACCACTGGTAACACTCATCTTGCAGATGTAAGGTGTTGTTCACCAGGGAGCTTTGGCAAGAGAGTTGGCCAGATGAACAAGTTCATCTCCATTGTGGAAAAACAACTTGAAGCTCATCTCTGTTGAAGGTGAGTTAGTGTCATCTTCACACAGGGAAGATCATGCTAGTGTTATTTGATGTTTTCAGGGTTATCAAACAACAGTTTGGTTTGAACTTTGTTTTATGGGATGTTGAGCTGTCATGCTTTATTATTTGAGTGTAAAGATTCACACAGAAATCAACCTGACAATGAAAAGAAATGGAAGTAATAATTTGGTGTTTCTGAATATACGTAAAAGTAGTTTGGGTCTCTCCCTTCCTTTCTTTTAAATGTTTATTTTTAAGTAATCACTACACCCAATGTGGGGCTCGAACTCATGACCCTGAGGTCAAGAGTCACATGCTCTCCCAAGTGAGCCAGCCACACACCCCAATTTAGTTATTCTTTCTCACCTCTGTTATTTCCATATAATACATGCTAGCTAAGTTATAATTCATGACTTTTATTTGAATATTGGCTAGATCAGAATCACATGTTACATATTTATTTTAAAATATATTACGAATTTCAGGAAATTTCATATAACTGCAGTGTCAATGTAAAGATACTCTTCTGTTTTCAAATACATTATTTGGTCTTTGAAATGGTAGCCAATGTTAATGCTTGCCACAGGCTTGCTGTCCCAGAGATATAGTGGATGACTATACATGTTTAATATTATTACAAGAAGTAGTAGGGTATCTAATAGCAATCCGTAGTTCAGTTCAATATCATTTAGTGCATATTTATTAATCATCACTTCATTTTACTTTACTCATTACATTTGTGACTTGACCCAGCCCTACCTAACCATGAAATATGTGTATATATATGTGTGTGTGTTTGTATAACATTATATATAAGTAACTTGATACAGTAGCTGATGTTGCTTTGGCCCTCTTTATTCAAGTTGTTTTCATTTGAATTATCTCCATTGTCAGGTTGTCAAAGTCCATTTTCTTTTACAGTCTTGCTTTACTAGTAACCCTCTTTTTTAAATGTTATCATTATCTTTTAATTTTTCTTCTTTTGAGGCATAAACAAATCCCAAGGTCAAAGACTGGTGGGGCTGATGCTCACTGACTTCAAAAGAAAGGTCTAACTGTAGGGAGAGGATCTTTACAGGTATGATGTTCCATTATAACCAGCTTTACCATCTATACTAAATGGCTTGTAAGAGGCCATGAAATAAAAAAAAGGAATAAGATGGCACTATATTCAATGAAAAAGTTTGATTGTACAATTTTTTTTTTTCCTCAAAAAGGCTCAAATATTTCTGTAGTAAGATTGGGCTTTCCCTTCCCATGCCTTATAAGTAATTATTAAGTATAACTCAGTGTGGGTTTTTTTTTTTTTTAAGGATTTTATTTATTTGAGAGAGAGAGAGTGAGAGAGCACAAGCAGAGGGAGGGACAGAGGGAGAAGCAGACTCCCCACTGAGCGGTGAGCCCAATGCGGGGCTTGATCCTGGGATTCTGGGATCATGACCTGAGCTGAAGGCAGACGCTTAACCAACTGATCCACCCAAGCACCCCATAACTCAGTGTGTTTTTAAAAATCTTGTTTCTTGAAAACATTATTTTAAGATGATTTGTCTCAGTATTATTATTTTCACATTAAGCCTACCTCAAACATTTTCAGTTGGATTAGACTGGAAATTTAACATTATAGTGCAAGTCAAAGTTATTTAGTGTCTAAACTTGAGTTTGTCTTAACTAGAATAATTTATATTGTAGTTATTATAAATACTACTTGTTAAATATTTAATAATTATAATTATATATAATTGTTATTAATTAAATTAGTAAAATTAGTTAAAATTAATAATTTACTCAGCTCTATTCTGAGTGCTTTTTATATCGTTATGTCTTTGTAACAGTTATGTGGAGTAGGAATGATTATCCCAGGTTTATAGACAAGGAAACTAAGACTCAAGAGTTCAATAATTTGCACTGACCAGTGACTGACCCAGGATTTCAACTATGTGACCTCAGAGCTTCTGTTCAAAGCTCCTGTTTATAAGTGTGGTGTTAAGCTGAATGAAAGGTTTACATGTGCAACTTGAGAATGGGCTGCTTCACTTTTGAGGCAGTCAGCCTAGTTCACAGTGATTTTGTACTACTGACTGAGGTACACCAAAATGTATCTGACTGAAACATTTGCTTTTGTGACTTTATGTGAACATAACATTTTAAAAAAAGATTTATTGATTTATGTTAGAGCACGTGCTTGCTGGGGCAGGGCAGGGGAGGGGCAGAGATAGTCTCAGGCCGACTCCGTGCTAAAGGTAGAGCTCCACATGGGGCTTGATCTCACAACCCTGAGATCACAATCTGAGCTGAAACCAAGAGTCGGGTGCTCATCCCACTGTGCCACCCAGGCGCCCCTATGTGGACCTAACTTTTGACAATCTGTCAGTATATTACGTATACTTAATGTTGTGTGTGTATGCTGCATGATGCTTCCTTGGGAAAACTTGGTGAATCTTTAGTGTCTGCCCCACTCTTTAGGTGGTAGAATTGCTGTTTAATATATAAGTTTGCTAGAGGCTGAGACCCTTGTTCTGGGGGATTATTTACATATGCATATAAAACAGATAGGCTAAAATGATATTAGTTCTCTCACAGATGTGTAATAAATTGTGAAATGTTAGTTTGACAGTTGTTGCGGAAAGCTAAATGCCTAAATTGTGTAGACATTATGGATTTTTTTTTCTTTTCTTTTCTTTTCTTTTTTTTTTTTTTACAGACAGAAACCATTGAAGGACTTTAGGATGCAGATTGTGTTGTCTTTAGCATACATGCAAGGTCTTTTGTTAGTGGGCCATTGCATATTGCTTCAGGCTTACCTCCAGCAGTCCTCTTCCTTACCAACCAGTGTCTTGTGTACTCCTTACATGTCTACCTCAGTTAAAATGAATAGCTTGGGGGTGCTTGGATAGCTCAGTTGTTTAAGGGGCTGACTCTTGATTTTGGCTCAGGTCATGATCTCAGGGTTGTGAGATGGGGGCTGGTATTCCACACTCAGCAGGGAGTCTGCTTGAGATTCTCTCTCTCCCTCTCCCACACCCCCTCATGCTCTCATGCTTGCTCTCTCTCTTAAATAAATAATTAAATCTTATTCCCCTCCCCCCCAAAAACCCCTGAATACCTTGTAGTTATCCTATCATGATTAGGTATTCAGCACTTTTGTCTTCATTAATACTTTTCTTCTTACCATTATGATCTTTTCTCTGTTCCCTGTTGAGTACCAACTTTTCATTCAAGATTCAGGTTTGTTTCTCTTTAAGGCTTTCCTAACTACTGACCTTTCCTAACTACTGACATTGAACCTTATCTTCTTTGAGCCTTTCTAGTGTATACTTCTATTCTAGAACCTTATATTTTATATTTATATACCTTTATATTTTATTGCACTTATGTATTTATATGTCTTTTTCTAACTAGACTGTAGATAGACTGTAGATTTCTTAATGGCAAGTATAAAGGCTATGTGTTTAATTCATTTTTATGTCCCCAGTTTTTAGCATAATACCTGGTACATATAGATGCTTAATAAGCACTTGTTAAATGGATGAATAAACAAATGGTTAAATTATAAAGGAAAGAAAAGATTATCCTCACAGTTGGTATGATAATGGTGATAATGTGCCTTCCAATGTGGAGTGCTACTACACTTATCAGGGAAAATTCAGTGTTAAAAACAGTATCTTTCCTGAGGTCTGATGGTAGTCATACTAGCTTCTTACAGTCAGTATAGTGTATGTCTGGAGTTTTGTTGTCTTGAACAACTAACCATTTATTATTGAAAATTTACCCACAAAATTTCAATGGTTGAATTTTTTCATGAATAATATATTTTAATAATATAGGTCTTGACTTAAAGACTCTATCACTTCCTTTAAGGAGATCCACATGTGCTTTGGTGTTACAATCAGTCTAAAGTTGGAAAAGGACCCTTCTGCTTGAAAAATAATGAAAAATACATCAAGGAATGAACCTACTTGTTATTACACTTAAAGTTCCATTTGCTTTGCAACTGTAACTCTTATGTTATGGAATCCTGATTAAAAAGGTTATAATGGCCAGTATTATCAGAATGACAAATTCTAACATAGGTTAGTGGTTTTACATTTAGAAAAACACTAATGGGGACGCCTGGGTGGCTCAGTCTATTAAGCGTCTACCTTCGGCTCGGGTCATGATCCCAGGGTCCTGGGATTAGGTCCTGTGTCGGGCTCCTTGGTCGGGAGGGAGGCTGCTTCTTCCGTTGCCCTGCTCTGCCTGCCACTCCCCCTGCTTGTGCTCTCTCTCTGACAAATAAATAAATAAAATCTTAAAAAAAGAAAAACAAAGAAAAACACTCATGTATCATATTACTCCTTTAGTAATATGCCAAACTTCAAGTTCGTTTATATTTTGTTTATTTGAGGTTAAATGTTCTTTGGCCATCAGCTTACATTAGTTTTAACTAAGGAAATATTATACTATGAAGATAGTAAAAGGAAGCTTAAGGCTTCTGATATTATCTATATTCTGTTAAGTGAGTTTCTTTGTTTTAGGCTATATAGAAACAACTTAAGAAAATATACTGAATTAAAATTTGCTATGTTGAAATAGCATAGTCACTAAATAATTTATATTATTAGGGGAGTGTCAAAGGGTTTGAACAGAATTAAATTTCTTTGCTCAAGCTCTAAACAGTAAGACTTTTAATTTTGTAGGAAGACATTAAATACTCTGGTCATTCAAGTTGTATATCCTTTAAGCCTATTTAATAGAAACTTGTAAGTAAATATGTGTGCTGCTGAGAAACAGTGATCAAAAATGGCAATAAAAGTCACATAATGAAATAAGAATACTAAAAAAATCCAGGGATTTTACACTAGCTCATTATTCACTACATTTCTGGCATTCTTCATGATTACAAATCACTTGATTGACTAACTAGACATTCTCAAAGTGAATTATGAATCAGGTTCATTTTTTTCTGGTTGATAGTTGGCACATGCTGTAACTCTTATGCTTTGTGATATATCAAATTCTTATAACAGTGATAAGAGATATAATCAACTCTTTATTTTAAGAAAACTATACTGTCTTTTCAAAAAATGAAATGCAGTTGCTAACATTTTAACAACACAATGTAATCCCTACTTTTGTATCTCAAGGTGGAATTCACAGTGATGATGTTATTTTTCAGATTAAGATAAATCTGTAGACTGATTTTCCGTTAGGCATAAAACTCCTATTGATATCAGTTCTGTAGGCTTCTTGGGCAGTTGCTTGAGCCTAGGTTACAAAAACAGTTGCATATCTTTCCTTAGTATTTAAAAACGAGTGATGAAGGAATTGTATATTTTTAACATTTTTCTTTGAAGGGAATGTAGTTTTTCCTAAATACCTAATTTGTAATGAGGCCATGATGTTGCATACTTTAAAATGTGGAACATTTTAATGGTTATTAATAAAGAGGGTCTCTTTTTGAGTTGGGAAAAGGGTCCATAGTGACCTGAATCTTGATCTTTCCATTTGTAAAACTTAATCAGGGGGGTAAATTCTGCTTTCAAATGCATTCTCTTCTCTTTTGACTTAATAATAATCCTATATGCATTACTTCACTAGCAGTTGAGTGGCAGAAAATTCCTGTAGCACAACTGCATTTGCTTTAATCCCATCCACTCAAGCAATTGAAAATAAAATGGGTGTTTCTTAATGTGATATATTCAAAATTTGAGAATCCTGTGCAGAATTCAGTCATTGCCTTAGCAAAAGTGAGGTTCCTTCGTTGAAAATTGTCAGGCATGGGAATGTAGAGCCATTTGTTTAACAGTGTTATGAGGTCCTCTTACTAAAAAAAAAAAAATTACATATGTACTTTTTTACATAGGTAAAAGCAATTCTTTGTTTCTTATGAAGACAAAATCATCAAAGTTAGTGGAAGCTTTACATATATTAACAGTCACAGAATTGTACTGCCATACTTTTTCCCTATGTAAAAGGAGAGTACTTAGTATTTCAGCATTCCAGTGGCTTTAACTTACTTTCTTTGTTTTCTTTTATGAGCAAGATTTCTTTATATTATAACTAAAAATTGTTTTATGGCTATTCAGTTGTAAAAATTGT